AGAAGGACCCTAGTTACACTTTCACTATTTTGCTTAGAAATCTCCTCTGTTAAATATCTAATTTTATCACTTGTAAGTTCTACCTTCTACAAAATACTAGGACACCATTTAAGCGAGTTCTCTGCCACTTTATAATAAGGATTTCATTTCCTCTGGAGTCTGGGGCCTTTCCACCAGTTGTGTGTGCTGCTTTACCACCCCGCTCTGTGTGGCTCTTCCCTCTGTGGCCGGGGTTATGGCTGCTGGTTTTCTCATTCTGATCAGTAATAACTGCACTGTAAGTACTTACACTTGGTATGCTATTTTGTCTGCACGACAATCCTGGGTGGTAGGAGACTTAGTTTTCTAGGGTTGCCATAACAAAGTAGCGTAGACTGGGTGGCTTGAACAACAGAAGTTTACCTGAGATCAGGAAATCAGGGTGTCAGCAGAGTTGGTTTTCCTCTCCTTGGCTGTTGGTGGTTGACTTCACATGGTCTTCCCTCTGTGCCAGTTGTGTCCACATTTCCTCTTATAAATATACCCGTCCTATTGGATTAGGACCTATCCACATCACTGAATTTTTTAATCTTTTAATTATCTCATTAATTTATCCCAGTTATCTCTTTGAAGACCCCATCCCCAAATATAGTCACATTCTGAGGTTCTGGAGGTTAGGACTTCAACATAGCAATTGGCAACAGCGGGGAGGTAGGAGTAGCACAGTTCAGCCCATAGCGGAGGGCAAGGGCTTTTACCCTTACTTTACAGCTAGGAAGTGGGACCCGGGGTCAGTTTTTCCTTGGTCCACACAGTCACTAGGACTGAGACTGGAGCCCTAGGCACTAGACTCCCAGTTCATTTTCTTTTCACAGCAGGCCTGAGCCACAGGGTTTGCTGAACTTTCGCTTGTTCGGAGAGGGCCATCTTCAGGAAACCTAGACTTAGAATTTATCATTGGTCTTGCTTTGAAAGCACTGTCTTTCCCCTCTCTCTCTTGTCTTAAATTTGGTTTCCCTAAAAGTAGGCCATGATTTATAGTTTATATGGGAGACAAACCCAGGAATTACCAGTAGGGGAGTGTGGAAGTAACATAGGGAAGAAAAGCCAGACTATGAAAGATGCATGACTGAGCAGGTTACTGCTGTGGGCCACTGGGGCTCAGTCCTGCTGAGGCACTCTGGGAGACTATGTACAACACGCTTCAGAGGTGTCCTTCCAACACTTAGGAATGAGGGAGCTAGGTTGTTCATCAACCCCGATGGTCATTGTTTGAGAGCTGATCCTCTGGGGTGTCAATCCCTCCAGCACCTCTGACATGCCCTGGGGAAGGCCACTGATAAGTATGCCTGTGCCTGGAGGGTGCTAAGGCACTGTATTAGTTACCTATTGCTGTGTAACAAATTACCACAAACATAGCAACTTAACACATTCATTATCTCACCGTTTCAGTGGATCAGGAGTCACACCTGCGCATGGCTTAGCTGGGTCCTCTGCTTTAAGCTCACTCTCAAGGCAGAAATCAAGGTGTTAGTCTGGGCTGGGGTCTCAGCTGAAGGCTTGACTGGGGAAGGATCTGCTTCCAACTTCATTTCCTCTAGAACTTTTGGACTGATGACCTCAGTTTCTAGCTGGGTGTTGGCCAGGTGTCACCTTCAGTTCCTTGCTATGTAGGTCTTCCTAGCATTGCTACTTAATTAATCAAAGCATACAAACCAGGAAGGCAATCAAGAAAGTCAGCAAGATGGAGAATCTTATGTAAGGCAATCGTAGAAGTGACATCCCATCCCCTTTGCTATATTCTTTTTTTTTTTTTTAAGATTTTATTTATTTGACAGGGAACACAAGCAGGGGGAGTGGGAGAGGGAGAAGCAGGCTTCCTGTGGAGCAGGGAGCCCGATGCGGGGCTCAATGCAGGGCTCAATCCCAGGACTCGGGCTCAATCCCAGGACCCTGAGATCATGACCTGAGCAGAAGGCAGATGCTTAACAATTGAGCCACTCAGGTGCCCCGCCTCCCTTTGCTGTATTCTGTTGGTTAGGAGCAAGTCACAGGTCCTGCCACACCTAAGGGGAGGGGATTACACAAGGATGTGACTACCAGGAGGTGGACGCACTGCGGGTGTCTGTTACACTCCCATCTGCTAACTTCAGAAGTTATTGCTGACCAGAAACATCTTTTATCAAGAGACATCGGGATCAGAAATAATTTTATTGCAGGGGCGCCTGGGTGGCTCAGTCATTAAGCGTCTGCCTTTGGCTCAGGTCATGATCCCAGGGTCCTGGGATTGAGCCCTGCATCGGGCTCCCTGCTCAGCGGGAAGCCTGCTTCTCCCTCTCCCACTCCCCCTGTTTGTGTTCCCTCTCTTGCTGTGTCTCTCTCTGTCAAATAAATAAATAAAATAAAAATAATTTTATTGCAAATCAGAAAATCTAATTTTAAACTACCTGGTCATTGGGGGCTAGTCAGATGTGATTTTCTGGGCCTGACATGGAGTCTTCTGTGCTTTCCTTTCCCTAGTTAAGGGCTAAGCATCTTGGGTTTTTGGTGATGGGGACTCTGAATTCTCGTGATCTTCCTGTGGAGCCAACTGCCGTTCTTGTTCCTTTTGTAGGATTTCAAAGTGAATTTGGAATTGAGTGAGAACTTCAGGAACTTCAACTAAAATTCCATATAGGCTATTAATATGGAAATTTATATATTGAAATTTTGCTTCCTATCTGATATCAGAACAATTCCTAAAGCCACAGGATGACACTAATCTTTCCAGCACTTGTCACATTCAGATGGCATGTAAGAGAAGCTGGAGGATTTTTTTTTTTTTTTAAAGACTGATGACTGGAGGGGAAGAATCATTTTTTTGGGAAAAGAATATATCAGCCTTATCAACTTTATCAGTGTTTTGTACTAGTTCTGCATTTTAAATTAAATTTTTTTTTTTTTTTTTGGTCTCCTGCCAGAAGCCATGTGCAGGGTAGTGGTTAGGGCTTATAAGCTCTGGGGCCATACTGTGTGAGTTTGAATCCTTGCCCAGCCACCCACTAGCTGTGTGACCTTGGGCAGGTTACCTAACCTCTCTGTGTGTCAGTCTCTTCAACTGTAAAATGGGGGTAATAATAGTACTGTCCTTATGGAGTTCTTGTGAGGATTAAATGAATAAAAATGCATGTAAAGCCCTCAGAACAGTGGCAGGAGCCAACAAGAGTTTGCAATTACTAGTTTGAGAAAGTTAAATAAAACATCAGGAAGAGAAATTTTTGAGTGATGGAGATGACTAAGGGGATTTATGAAGCCTGCTATTTCTGGACTAAACAAAAATTCTCTATTCCCTTTTTGGGTTCTATTTCAGAAAAAGGCCCACCATGACTATGATTTCAGGGTTCTGGAGAAGATGTTCCTGACTCCCTAGGTATCATCACTCAGCACCAATAATGCATAGCCACCTGAAGTGTCTCAATAAACACATGACTTCCTGGTTCTGGCCAGACAGACCTTGGGTCCTGGTGGCTCAGCTGCTTATAATTTTAGCAGGTTTTGACAGGAGAATGGGGAAAGGGCTTGTGGACTCAGCAATTCTGAAAGTGAAATGGGAGTGAATGAGGAGCTCTGGGTAGGAAAGGAGGGGATAGAGACTGGGGGATGGAGAGGTTGGGAGAGCTAGAGCAGAAAGACACAACTTCCTCTGGCATCTGAGATGGAATATTTGCCAGTTCTAGGGTGGTTGTGGTGGGCATTTTCTCTTTTTCCACATCAGTAGTAGTTCACATAGAGTGGCATTTCTTAAATGTCAGTGTGCAAAGGAATTACCAGGGATACTTGTTAAAAAATAAACTTCCTAGGCCCACCTCCAGAGATTCTGATTCTGCAGCAGCACTGTGGTGGAGTCAGGTGATTTTTATGGGAGCGTCTAAAGGTGGTGATGGCCCCAGAATCTAAAAGGAGCAGAGGGGCCATGATCTGGTTGGGGAAAGTGACCAGGGGCTTTTCTGGAAGCCATACTTGCCCTGCAATCAACATTTTAAAAAAGCACGTAGAGTGGATGCTGATTTGGGGAAGCTGGTGGAGCTTATGGGGGTCTGAAGTCCAAGCTACCACTTGACATTCCTACTCTGAGGGCATATTGAGAAACACTGTCAGAAAGTACAAGTGGAAGATGCTTTAAGTACACTGTCATTTTACAGACTAAGACAATAATGCCCAGAAAGCTTAAGTGACTTCATCAAAGTCACACAGCTAGTTAATGGCAGGTCTGAGACTGTAATCAAGGATTCTGGTTCTCCACCCAGTTCCCTTATTCACTAAACACCTGTTCCCTCTGGGATGAGGAGAGGGGTGAGAGGAGGAAGTAATGAGAATTGGAGGGAGCTGGGCTCACAGTCCCAGACCGCAGCACAACAACAAAAATTTTGCTCTAGTTGAAGATGGAGTCAGAATTAGGATAATTTTGACTCAGAATTCAATGGCCAATAATTGCTATTAAAATCCCTAATAGCGGGGCGCCTGGGTGGCTCAGTTGGTTAAGCGACTGCCTTCGGCTCAGGTCATGATCCTGGAGTCCTTGGATCGAGTCCCGCATCGGGCTCTCGGCTCGGCAGGGAGTCTGCTTCTCCCTCTGACCCTCCCCCCTCTCATGCTCTCTATCTCATTCTCTCTTAAATAAATAAATAAAATCTTTTAAAAAAAAATCCCTAATAGTTAATTTTCTAAAGGCAGATGTCCTTCCCAGACAATAAATATTCCATGTGTAAGACTTCTTTTTTTAATCCCAGGGAAGATATAGCGTTTAAGGAAGCTCACGTTTCAGATTTTCTTCCTAGTAACAAAATCCTCATATTAGCTCTTGGCTCTTGCGGGCAGTTGGTAGTGCCGGAGTGGACGTGGGCAGAGGCCGGGCGGCGGGACTGCGGGTGGGGGCGCACTGCAGCACCGCGGCCCTGGGGCAGCCGGGCAGCGGCCCGCTAGAGGGGGCGCTGTGGGCGCCGCCAAGCGTCCTTTTGTCAGCGCGCACGGCCAAGAGAGCTCTCATTTCCTCCCAGCCTCGTGCGGGAAATGGATTTAATTCCGACGGCAGGGCTGTAAGGGGCGAGCGGGAACGAAAGCCTTTTGTCAAGGAGTAGCAGCCTCTGTTGTCTGTAATTACCACTGACGCGGAGAAGCTGCATTGCTGGTGGAATTCCAGGCAGCTCTGACAAGTGTGGGGCTGCAGGATGGGAAGAAAACATTGCTCTGCAGATTAGCTGGGTGCATTTATTAAGCAGACACCCAAAGGAAAAGACAACAAAGCAAAACAACAGTGGAAGACCAGGGATGGATAAGATGCTGTGCCGGAGGTAAGCCCGTCTTGGGAGTGGGCATCGTGGCTTGCCTTGGTTTTGTTTCTTTTAATGGAATTTGAGACCCCCTACAGCATCCCTCCACTGTGCGCGAGCTGGTTGGTCCCGATTGGCGAGCGTCTGCTAGTGTGTGTGTGTCTGTGATGCAGCCCTTCCCCGCGGCTGTGTGTTTTGTGCCTAAAGGTTTCTCTTGACGATGTAACATTGGAGGTTCTTCGGAAAGCGGGGCTGAGTAGCCCTGGCCTCTGCGAGGGGATGGTCGGGCGTACTCGCTCCGAGCGCCACGCCTGACAGGTGGGGCTTTCTTCTTGGTCAGGGCTGGTGGGTGGCAAGCGTCGCCTCACGGGGGCTGCCCCTCCCCTCCCTTCCCTTCCGGCTCGGCCGCCGCCCTCCAGGGGAGCGGTGTGGGGTGCTCAGCGGCCTGGGCGCGTCCCCCGGGCGTCGTCAAGGCTCGAGGCGGGGCGCTCTGCCGCAGCTGCGGGGCCGCAGGTGCGGCATCGGCAGCCGCCTGCATTTGGAGCAGGGGAGCTGGCACGTGAGCGGGTCCCAGTGGATCTGGATTTTTATGCCACTCCACCACTTTGGAGGGAAAAAAGGCCACTGTCCCCAAGAGGTCCTGCCAGTGTGTTCCTCTCTTAGCTTTCTTCTCCCCTCCCCTCTCTTTTCCTGCCTCTTCTTTCCCCGCCCCCGCCCCCATCCCCGGGTTGGAGGCCACCCTTGGTCTGGGAGGCCGGGTGGGGTGGGGGTGGGCCGCGTCTGCCAGTTTTGAAATCACCACCACTGAGCTACAAGGTGTTAGGTTAGGGGGAGTGGGGGCGGGGCAGACTGCTTTAGGATGCCGATCAGGCGCTCTGTCTAGCCTATTGTCTTGCTTTTTCTCCCCCTTCCTTTTCGTCTGTAATCTCCACCCCTTGCCAAAGAGAGGGAGAAAGAAAGACTGAAAGCCCCAGGAGAGAGAGAGCGAGAGAGAGAAAGAGAAGGAAAGGGGGGGGGGAACCCAGCCCACACCCTATCAAATTCTTTTAAAAATTGTCATTTATCTGTGACACATGATTATTACCCATCTGTTTCTTTACACCCACTCTTCCCTCTTGCAGTTTGTTGTCTAAGGTTCAACTGGCTGAAATGAGCCTTATTAATAATAGAAATCAAATCTCAGTTTGCTAAATGGACATTTTGTTCTTTCTGACTAAGCCCAAAGGAAGGGTTGATATGACATCCTGGCGTGAGCAAGTGATTGGAGAGGGTAGACCCACCTCCTTTCACATCTAGTGTGTGGGTCTAGTTAAGGTACACGAGATGCATGTTTAACTTGTACAGTAGGGGTGGTGTCTTTAAAGGGATTTAAATATTGGGTTTCATTTTAAGAGAGAATTGGCCAACATTCGAAGTGAAAGTGCTTTAAATTAATAAAAGCAGATAACTGAAGTTTCAGACTTGCAAGTCACTCTGGCCACTAGCATATGAATAGTATATGTTAGAGATTTAACAGAGGGATTTAGACCATTTAATATTTTTGCTTTATAGTGTTCTACCTTCATTCTGTAAAGCGATCAGACTTTTGTCAGTGTGTATGGACCAGGATCTTGCCCAGCCCTGCTTCTTCCCCCACCCCTGTCCACTTTTCGTCTCCCCAACCCCAATAGCAAATCTTTTATTATTATTGTAATTTCAATATATTTTGGAGAACCACTAAAGATAAATCGTTCTTTGATCCCAAATCCATACATTTTTGTGGGAAGCCATATATTCTTTCTTGTCCAATTGCCTAGCCTTATTAGAAATTTGCTTGTTACATACAAAATATATAACACTGCCTGAAATGACGCACCTTATGGTGTAGTTTCTGGGCTTGGGTTGAATTGGCTTTAAGCATTAGGATGGTGCTAGAATTAGCAAATCACAGCTATTCTTTAAGAGTTTACAGGTGATCAAATATGTTTGTTGGGACAGAGTTTAGTGTTAAGGTTTTAAATGTATGTTTAAAAGACTTTGATAAATATATTTACCACCTACCTTGTTCTACAAGGAATCTAAGACAGTTTATCGGGCTTCATAAAACATAGCAAGGGAGACTAACTTAGAAGTAAATAAGAAAGAAAAGAGAAGACTAAGGGTAGAGATATAAAATGGTATTAAGAATGAAGCTAATACAAAAATACAAGCATAAGACCCTCTACACTTGGTACGAAGGTAAACAAATCCAGCTCTAAACTTTCCAGGATCTCATGGAAAAAGGAGAACTGACCAGCCCATGACTCATATGTTTTCTTTATTCATTGACTCATTCACCCATTTGTTCATTTAACAAACACTCAGTGAGGACCTAATATGTGCTGGGTTCTGTGAAGGGTGCAGGGACAGACATGGTCTCTGTCCTGACAGCAGTTACAGATGAATGTGAGGAACTGACATTCATCAAGGAAACCCTGTAAATGAATGTATAATTACAGATCGTGCCAAGAGCCGTGCAGAAAAAGTATGAAAACACAAAATGTCACATGTCCAGAACATAAAACAAAAAATGAAAACTTCTTAAGTGAAGCACAATTCTTGATTCTAAGAGCAGAAAGGAACTCTTCACAAATATGATAGTGTTTGGAATGATGTCTTCAATCATGTTCTTGTCAGACACAAGGAGGGTTTCATACTGCTGTTTTTAAAGTGTTCCTCAGTGTGAGCTTATATCACTCATGGGTCTCTCAGACCACTGGGGTTCTGGGGATATATACATTTTGAGGAATCTGTGTCTTCTCTAAAATTAGCAGTTTTACTTCAGTGATAATCTTAAATAATAATAAAAATGTGTTCTGGATTATCTTGATGGCAACTCCAAAGCCAATGGTGGGGCCTGTATTTGCCTCTGTATCTTCCCATGTGAGCCAAGGGCAGGCCTGGTGGCTCAGGTTATGAGGCAGAGAGGAGTTTAGTTAGAGGTACATGGAGAGAATGATGAGTCCACACAGGGCACAGGCTCATCAGACTCAAAAGAACAATTCCTGGGATCAGCACTATATTGGCAAGGAATGATGCTCTCATGCTAGTTGCACCTTCATATGCACAAGTTGCAGCAACTTATTAGCAGCAGGTGATGTAGTGAAAACACAGTGACAGAGTTGCTGTTGCTGGTTTCAGCAATAATTGGATTAGATCTACATTTAATGCAGATTTGGTAACCCCCGATAACTACCTTATGTCCAAAGCAATGAGACGAGTAATTTGGTGTAATGATTGAGTGGAGCCAGACTGTCTGACTTCAAATTCATTTTTTTACTTACTAGCTGTGAAACTTGGGCAAGTTACTCAATCTCTCTGATCCTCAGTTTCTTCTTTTGATGATATGGAGATAAATATGTGGTATTGATTTCATCATGATATTAAAAGGATTAGAGTTACTACATGTGAAAGACTTGGAGCATAGTGTAAAGTTCAATAGATGTTGGTCATTACTATGATTTTTATTATTATGAAATGGCACCCACTTATGTAGGCATCTCAGGATGGGTTTTAGTAAAATTTTAAATTATGGTACCTAATTATCTTCAATGTAGCAAACACATTTTTGAGGTTATTAATATTGTTTTGCACACATGCTTTATAAGTTGTCTGCATTAGTATTGTTGAAGCCAAAATTCAGATAGTGATAACACATAGCAACTAGACTGAGACTATATCTTTCTGTTGTTAAACCCAAAATGGTGTTTTAATTCCAGCAAAACAATATTGTCTGTTGCAGGAAGTTAATTTTGTTAGTTTGGCGTTTTAAAGTTTTATAGTTACATTTATTTGTTTATTTGTTTATTGTAAATTGATTTTGGCATTTTGGTTATATAAAAGCTATAATGCCTGGATGTTTATAACTGTTTTTTTTTTTTTTAAGATTTTATTTATTTATTTGACAGATACATAGCAAGAGAGGGAACACAAGCAGGGGGAGTGGGAGAGGGAGAAGCAGGCTTCCCACTGAGCAGAGAGCCTGATGCGGGGCTCGATCCCAGTACCCTGGGATCATGACCTGAGCCGAAGGCAGACGCTTAACTACTGAGCCACCCAGGCGCCCCTATAACTGGTCTTTATGAGTGTACGTATTTAAGTTACATTTTAATAAAAGTGACTTAGGTCAGCCTGGGTCCATAAGAAATTTTTTTCTTCAAAAGAGATTTTTGGGTAGTTTAAGCATTTTTGGACTGTGTACAAGGACATACCCAAGATGCTTGGAGTAGAATTTCGAATCTGTAGAAGAGAGATTGGAGCCCTAATATTTTACTCTATATACCTTAAGTACCATAGTTTTAGCTTGAAAGAATTTTAAGACAGTAATACCAAAAACTGCCTCTGTTTACAACAACAACAAAGTCCCCCAGACTCAAAGAGCACCTATGGAATGGCAAGCTTCCAGCAAAGATTCGTCCTGGCCTAACTTCCATGATAAACCACATATGAGAGATTTGTCAATGTTATTGAATGAGGTGAAAAGAAAATCTTTTCTCTGTGGACTACAATGTTCGACTGTATAGATTAAAATGAGTTTATTGATTATATTGTTCAAATCTGTTTTTAAGTTTCCTTTGTACTTAATTGAGCTGTCAAAGATTACAAGAAATATGCCAGTCTCCCATTATAATTTTTGATAGCTTTCCTTTTGATATATACATATCATAGACCTATGCATTTATATTATATTACACACAGGTTTTATTTGATGCTGTGTTATTTAGGGCCCTGGTTGCCAAGGACTGATGGCTTTTTTGGGATGGGGGACATTTACTGCCAAAACCAGGACATGCTAGGCAAAGGAAGACAGATCTATTTTAGTTGCAGAGAAGAGAGAGATAACAAACAATGGGCCCAGATTCTTCAAGGACTCTCTAGAAGATATAGTAAAGATGGTGCCAACCAACATCAACCAGCCCATGATTCAACAAGGGGCCCTCCCCAGAAGAAGCAGGGATATTCTTCCAGGTGAGTCCTAGAATAATTCTCAGGCTCAATGCACC